TTTAAGCTTCAAATATGCTTGTTTAAAGATCACGCATTTTCTGAAGTGGTGGGAAGGCAATGACAAACGTATGTTTCATAGAGGCTTAAGGATCTTTAGAACAAGATGTCGAGTGGTTGCTTTCTAGCAAGAAGTGGTTTTTCTCTGCAGCACTTACAGGCTAGACTGCCTGAGTATTGCAGTGGCCACGAAAAAGTGAGAGGGTGATACACCTTCAGGTATGAATGGCATCCAGAGTGCAGCCCTTGCTCCCCTGCACGGCATGTCCTAGGGTGGTGGTGCTGGGGAAAGGAGGGGGAACCTCCCACCCCGCTGTGGAGCTGAAGGGGGTGTTTTGACCTCGAAGCAAAGCACTGGGGCTTGCTGGACCTGGGCGTGATCCCTGGTGACCCCTGGGAAGCCTCAAGCTGGTTGTCCTCTGCGTTCTTCCTGGTCCCTTGAGAACATGGAGTTCATGGTGTGTACTCCCTTTGCACAGCGTTTGGAGATGCACGGGAGGGCGTGCACTGCATCAAGCGATTTTGAGCCTGGATGGAGCTTTGCCGTGGTGCAGGGATTCTGGTGTGCATCCCACAAACATGGGGCCCAAGGGGCTCCAGCGCCACCACACGTGCTGCCATCCCCTCTCCCCGCTCTGTCACACAGGACCCTCTCATTGCCCCTGTGCAGCCGCTAAACCACCCCTGCAGCCTCCTGACAAGACTAAAGCTCCTTTAGAAGGGGAGGTTTTGCTCCATCGGGTCCCCTGCCACCGGGGAAGCCGTGCTCACCAAGCTTCTTTGCTCTTCCAGATCACCAGTGCGGCGGAGACGGAGGCGGTCACTTCCCAGAAGCTGGTGAAGGGACACGCGTACTCGGTCACCGGGGCAGAGGAGGTAGGTGTGCTGCCCCAAAGTGGCAAAACGCAGCGAGCTTTGTGCGTGGCCTGGTGCAAATTCGTCTTCATCATTGACGGATTCTCCAGTCTCACCTGTTCTGCCAAATCAGGTTTTGAGTCCTTTCTGAAGAGATACTGAATTAGTTGCTGAGTTTTGGGTAAACACAAACTTGACTTCTTGGTGTTTTGACCAAAAAAAAACCCAACAACCTGTTTTTTCCATAAGCACTGCTATTTCCCAGTGAGTGGGGTGGCAAGAAGCCCTGTGCAGAGGGCACTCTACCCTCTGCTGGTGACCAGGCCCCTCAACACATTTCTATATAACAGGCAGCACTGTACCTTAAATGCACAGCAAGATGCGCTAGAGATGTGTACCAAGCAAAAAAAAAAAAAAAAAAAAAAAAAAAAAATTATTGTCCATTAAATGCCTGCCAAACAGCGCCTTTAGGCTGGGCGCAGTGTTCAAACGCAAGGTGTCTGTCCAAGAGCAGGTGACTGGCAAAGGTAAGGTGAGTGAAAACAAAAGAGGCAGATTGTGGCGTCCTTTCAGGTGTGTAATGGACTTTCGGTCACTTCACTGGTAATTGTTTCTGAAACAATTTCTGAAACTTCAGAGCGAGGTGTAGGGAGCTGCTGAGATGCTGCGCCAAGGTGGATGCTGCTAACAGGCAGGTTTATGTGCTTGCATTTGGTCCTCCTCTCACAGCAAAAGCAGCAAAGAGGGAGTTTGACCTTAATTCACAAGCAGGCGGGATTTAGTCAGGCTTTTCCTTTGGAAAAATGTGCAGGCTTTGTAAAGATAGTTCATCTTCGGCAGTGGAGTGTCATTTCTGGACCCTGCATTGCCAATGCTCTGTGCAGTTTTCTTGGCTTCGGGCTCTAGAGGTGTGCCAGCTCCTTCCTCAAATTAGTGCCGTGTGTTCCCCATAAATACTGGGTGTTCCCATTGAAACTGGTACAGCTTTGCTTGGCCTGGACTCTGTGCATGAAGAGATCAGCAGATAACAAGCCGGGGGCTCAGGGCAGTGCTGTGTGGCAGGGCTGACGCCGCTGCGCCCCAGGGCGTTCGTGTGGTCAAAGGGGTTGCAGCCAGGCTGAGTATCCCATCTCTTGTAATAGCTGCAGTTCAGAATATATACGTAGGGAGGGGAGAAAGGCATTTGAATGTGAAAGGGCAGTTTAAACATAGATGGCAGCTTTAGAGAAATATCCCCTTGTACCTGCTTTTTGGCAGTCCTGCAGCAGCTTTACGTTCCCTTTGCTTGAAATCCTATCAGAATCACTTTTTTAGTGGCACAAAACAGACATTTTGGTTATCGTGAGCTTTGACTGCACAAAAAGCCTTCTCTGGACAAGCTTGGGTGCGTGGAGCTCATTCAAAATCAGTTTGACTTCATGTCTTTTGGACCAGATGATGTGCTCTGCCATGTCCTTTAATTCCCATAGAACAGGTGGAAGGGCGCACAGTGCTAAGTCCCTGGGTAGCTCTTCATACACTTCTGATCCCATCAGGTGAACTTCCGAGGAACGGTGCAGAAGTTGATCAGAATCCGAAATCCCTGGGGGGAAGTGGAGTGGACTGGAAAGTGGAACGACAAGTGAGTTGATGGCTTGCATGTTGCCCGCAGGCTTTTACTGCAGGGGTTTGATCATGTTTCTGCTGTTGCCTGTCTTCTCCCTACCTCAAGTTCCTCTCTAAGTCACATCTGGATGTGATGTTCGCTCTGAGCTGTTTAAAAGAAGCCTCCCACCACTGTCATCTCTCACGCAAGCATCGCAGCACGCGGTGCCCTTCATACAAACCACCTGCCTTTGTGTAAGGTGCAGTGGTTTGGTTGGTGGTTCCTACAAGCCTCTCCGGAGTTTCTGCTTCTTCAACAGCCCAGGTTCAGTGGTGAGCTTCTGAAAACTTTCTTTCTGAAACGGCTTTAAAAGATCTGTTTCTGTTGTTAGCAACGAAAGCTGGAGTTTACTTGCTTCTGTGGGTCTTGCTTTTTCTAAAATAAAGCTCTGTCTCAGTCAAGGCATTAGCAGTTTCTGCAAATAAAACTCTGTTTCTGATTCTTACTGTGGATATTTAAGAAGTGGGGTATCGAATACCCCAGGTCCCTGTATTTTAATTCCGCTATGGTTTGAGAGCCCTGGAGCTGCTATCAGCTAGATATTGGGGAGTATTGCAATTACGTGGAGCTGTAAGAAAGTGAGATCATTGTGCCAGAACAGCTACATTAGGTGTTTAACCTTTACCATACCCTGTAGTTGATGTGGGATTGTCTTTCAGCTGCCCAAACTGGAGTGGCGTTGACCCTGAGGTGCGTGAGCGGCTGACCAGGAGGCATGAAGATGGGGAGTTTTGGTAAGTGCCACTGGGTTTCCATTCAGGCTGAAGGGAATGTCTTCCCCTCTGCTTTTTTCACGCAAAATAACCTCTCCAAGATGAGTGAGCAAATTAATCCAAAACCTAGTGCTAAATTGCGTCGTGAGAGAGGGAGGATAGACAAGGTGGTTGTATGGAAACCCTGTCCATTCTAAGGAGATGTTGTCTGTGGCATTGCCTCCCACAGGATGGCGTTCAATGACTTCTTGAGACATTACTCCCGCCTGGAGATCTGCAACCTGACTCCAGACACGCTGGCAAGTGACAGGTACAAGAAGTGGAGCCTGCTGAAGCTGGATGGGAACTGGAGGCGAGGAGCCACTGCAGGGGGCTGCAGGAATTACCCAAGTAAGAGAAACACTTTATTTGAGCACTTGTACTTTCTCTGGGAGCTTCTTCTGGGAGGTGGTTTGGGGTGGCTTATAGAGGAGAGGATATACCTGGGATATCCAGGACTGGTATCCAAAAAGTGCAGGTGTTTGGGAAACATGGCTCCATGATGAGGGTCTAGCTGTAGTTGTAAAGGCTGAGGGGAGGGAGTGTTAGTTTTTCCTTCTCACAGCTGATTTTGGAAGTCAGAGCCACATCTTTCCTAGCTGACATGTATGTATCAGCGTGGCTGCTGTCAAAGAAGCCTCTGAGCAGTTTGCATAAATCCAATTCCCAGACACTTTCTGGACGAATCCACAGTATTTAATCAAGCTGGAGGAAGAAGATGAGGATCCTGATGATCCTGAGAGGGGCTGCACTTTCCTCATTGGCCTGATTCAGAAGCACCGACGGAGGCAGAGGAAGATGGGAGAGGACATGCACACCATCGGCTTTGCGATTTATGAGGCAAGTAAGGCAGTACAGGCACATGGGAGGAAAAGGGAAAATTCATGCACCCTGTAAATGGGGTAGTGCAGTTCCCAGACTGGGCTTTCTATCAAAACTCAGCCGGCTTGAGTCGGACACCAGCTGCAGCAAGGCAAATTCCACTTAGAAGTTTAGAAAATTATCCTCCACAAAAACAGTGGTGAGGCACAGGGGCAGGTACACAGAGAGATGATGGAATCTGCGTTCCTGGAGATATTCAGACCTAGGCTGGACAAGGTCCTAGGCGATGTTTGATATTGGCCTTGCTTTGAGTAGGGGGTTGGACCAGATGACCTACGGACCCTTCCTACCTATAGTATTCTGTGTTTCTAGATGGAGGAGCAGAAAAAGTACTTTAAAATAATATAAAAGTGCAGAAATCCAGTCTGACCTTCGCTCGTCAGGCTGTGGTGCAAAGCAGCAGAATGGGAGCAGCCGTGGTAGGGACACCTGCACTAGTTTGGGGAGTGTGAACCCAGCAGCAGAACCAGCCAAAACACCTGGAAAAGTTATTCTGCTGAATAAAGGGTCAGAGACATATCTATGGTAACTTCTTAAGCAAGACATTTTGTTCAGAGCTGGAAAGCAGTGATGGTTAACTGGCAGTGAAAGTAGGAGTAATGGTCTTGCCTGCAGGTCGTGCCATAACCATAAGCAAGTATGTGCAACTGCTTGCTTTCTCAATATTCCAGCTTTGGAAAAGCTTGTCAGAGAATCTGGCCCCCATAGGCAAATAAGGTTTAAAGCAAAGTTAGGTCCCCTGAACCCATAAGAAAACAAAACTGCATTATTGTCTTGCTCAGCCCCTGCGTCCTCTCCCACTGGTGGGAGAGGCCAGAGGGGTAGGAGGGCAAAAGAGAAGGTGGAAAGAAACAGTAGAGAAACTGAGTCTACAAAAAATACCGCGGTGGGCCACAGGGCAGAGGATGAGCAGGAAACCACAACCAGCCTGGCTGTGTCTGTGCCAGGCTGTGCCTGTGCTGCTCGGGGTGAGCCCCAACTGCCTCCGGGATGGAGCCGGGACCTAAGCCAGCAGTCAGTGTTGGGTGATGGGGGCTCAGCGCTCACCGTCCCCCTTCAACTGACTCTTTGGTTTTCGGTTTTGGTTTTTTTCTTTTTCAAGAGAGTGGATGTACCCGCTAACCAGCAGTGAAAAGAAATAGCCCTGGAGCTGCCATTCAACAAGCAAATAACTCTCTCCTTTTCTCCTTGCAGGTGCCCCCAGAGGTACGTAGCATGCATTGGTGGTCATGGTGAAGAGTTGGGGCTGAGTGGCTTGTGGGAAGAAACGGTTAAGAGGATCCTCCTTCGCTGCAGGACAATATTGACAGTGCAGAGTCTAAAGTTAGAGGCCATTTATTCTGGAAGGGGCCTTGAGCCCATGTTGCATTTCCAGAGCGTCTTGGGCTGGGATAAGAGCTCTCTGTACTGCAGAAACTCACCAAAGCTGCTCTTCCATGGGTCTTTTCCCAGCCCAGCCCCGCGCCCATTCCCCCAGAGCATCTCTGCTTTTCTCAGGTTTGCACAGAGTTCATGTTTGACACACAACTAATATTCCAAGGAGGTGTCTATTTTCATTTCCCTAAGCACTGTCTTTATTGGTTTCTCTCTGTTTCTACCTGCAGGTAGCTAATAGCATGCCCTGGGGATCAGAGAGGGGTGTGCAATGCAGTGATGATGCCTGTGAAATACCAGGGAGGGCTGATCATATTGAGGAGCTGTTTCTCCTCAAAGGAATGAGAGAGGTTGAGTGAAATGCCAGGAAAACCTCGTTATGGGGCTTGCTGTACCTGCGAGGGTGCATGCAAAGCAGCCGGAGCACCTTGTGGCTCCCAAGGCTATGCTCAAACCAGTTGCTGCACTGTAAAACTTGTTTTCATCAGGAAAGAAATGGTGCTGCCAGTTAATTAAATTTCTTACGTACCTTTGAGTGCTTTAGCAGTACTCTGTCAGCTGCTCAGCTCTCACCCTAGTGGTCCAAAAATCTGATTTCCATAAAAAAGAGACTCTAGCTACAGTCCATGACTTTTCTTTATCTCCCACCATAACAGCAAGTCTGGCAGGTTTTGCATTCTTAAAAATCCAGGAGGACAGGAAGGGGGAGGTTTCTGAACCATGCACATTCCTGGTGTTTGCTTTTAGAGCTGAGCTAGACCACCCGTAAGACCCTGCACAGAAGAGTTTATTCTGGAAGAAGTTACACTGCCAATATGCTTTTATAATGCATGATGTTTATATTATTCCTGGAGGTCTCCATAAGCTGGCTCCCTGCTGTAAGGCAGCCTGACCTCAGAGGCAGGGCTGAGCTACAGTACCTTGGTGGCACCAGCTCTGGAGACCAAAGGGACATCGGTTGTAAGCCATCTCACTTTAAAGAAAAATAGTTGGTGGAAGATTTTACCAGAAGTCTTCACACACCCATTATCATCTGCAAAACATAAGCATGGGATGATCTGCAAAATACGTTTGCACCCACAGCTCAGGAGTCTGTGGTGGCATGCACCGACCCCGTTTCTCTTCTCTCTTTTGGTTCTGTTGAACGGATCTCTCCCCCCCCAACTAATTGACATATGTATTATATTTTTAATTTGTAACTGAAAGTACATGCAAACTGTTGGGTTTTTTTCCTTCTTCCTTTGCTCTTCATAAGTTTTCTGGCCAGACAAACATTCATCTGAGCAAAAACTTTTTCCTGACCAACAAAGCAAGAGAAAGATCTAACACCTTCATCAACCACCGTGCCCTCAACCTTTGAACCCAACAAGAATGGGGATTTCTGTCTCCGAGTCTTCTCTGAAAAGAACGCAAACTCCACGTATGTAGATTTTTTGTAACCAAGAGCGGTATGGCCATGTGGGCGATCTCTGGCCCCTCTCGTGGGCGTGGAAGGATGGAGCAGCCCAGGGCTGGGGTACATCGGCTTCCCGCAGGGAGCGGGAAGGGGAGGAAGCACAACCACCCTGCATGGATGGGGTCGCGGCAGTTCTGGTTTGTCCCCAGTTTCCCCATGTGAAACTGAGGAAAGTTTGAGTAAGCTTAGCAGGAAAAAATGGCGTAATAATAATAGTAATGGTGATCATGATGTATAATATAACAAATTGTTGTTGTTATTACCAGCCCTGCTTGGACAGACATTTTTAGTTATTGGGCTGTAGGCAAGTGGTCTGTGGAGAGAAGAAGACCCCAGGGAGCGACAGGCTGGGCTCTCCGTTTGGGAGGCAGAAATGCCTGTGCTTTCTGCTGTCTGGAAACACACTGGTCACAACAAATGATCTCACACCTTTGAGATCAGGCTGGAAAAAAATTCAGGATACTTGCTCAACCAAACGATACCTGTGATAAAATTAAAATGGGTTTTAATGGAACTGGCTCAAGGCACACCAGTAGCTGCGAAGCTGTGAAAAAAATTTATCGCATCTTAAAGAGTAGCAAGGCTAAGGCCTTGGGAAGGGGTGTGGGATCTTTCATATTGAGTCCCCGATTCAAAGCAAGCAAAAACCTTTCTGCTTCTGTTCCGTAATCTTTTGCTGCATGTTTCTGTAGCGGTAAGAAAACTGGGACATCTGTTGTGTGAAGGCTCACGCAGCTTTTGATGGGCCCTTAGCAGTCCTTCTGCACCATCCGTAGGTGTGGTGGTGCTCCCACAGCAGCTGACGGGCAGCGTGGAACACTGCTCCTCCCACTCTGTCCAGTCCAAATGACTTCAAGTCTCTCACTTCTGCTGTTTTAAAGGGGGAAAAAAAAATAAATAACAAAAAATTACTAGGTGGAAGTTTGATTTGCACCCAAGAGCCTGGTCCTGAGCTGAGATCTGTAGGCAGTGGCACTGAGTCACAAAAGTCTGACCCAAAATCCTGTCTGTGACTCCGCAGGACGTTGCACAGTTTGTAATGTGTTTTGACACCCGTGTGGCTATAGCTGGCAAAATACTGCTTTCCCAAAATACTGGTGGTGTGCAGTGTCTGTGGTTGATTTAATCCAGTAACCTTGGTGCTTTGAACATTCGTTATTCCCATAATTTAAAGAACCCCTCTTTAACTGAAACTTGAAGCAAGGGCATCAGAAAAGTGACGACTTCTGGTTTTAATATCTTTATCTTTCTAGGGTTATAGACGATGAAATTGAGGCCAATTTTGAAGAGGTATATCTTAACTTAAATGTTTTAAATTGAGATCATTTTGTCATAAATAAGGGGGGTTGGAGTTGCCTGTTCCCTGTGCAGGGCAGCCTTTTTCTGGAGGCATCGTCAAGAACCGTTGTCCCACTGTGGAAACAGACTTTTCAAGATCCATAGCTGGATGTCCAGCAAACGGAAACATCACAGGCGATAATGGAAACGCATGTCCTCCCTTACCCAGGGCGGTGAGCTTGGGCTTGCCCAGTAGAGGAGATCAGGTGCTCTCTGCAGAGGTAACTGGAGCCACGGGAAATTCCTTGTGCTCTCCAGGAACCCGGGAGTGCGGCCCTTCAGCCATTGGGGTGTTTTTGCCTGTGATGTTGTTTCCATGAGTAAGAAGTGGCTCACTGTATGTTTAGTCTTGCAGGAGCTGGGGATGTTTCGCCTACTAATGCATCTACCACTCTGTGGGGTTTTTTGGTTTCTTTTTTTTTATTTTTTTCCCCCCAGCATGAGAACTACATTTTGCTTGCTTTTCTCTGATGAAGACACCTAGGCCAACAGTAGTAGTAGCAGCACCAGCAACAGTGAAATTCTGAACTTTGTAGTGATTTTTTTTATATAAAGATTTTTTTAGATTTTTGAATATTTTTTTTTAGTAAAACCCATTGCAAAAAGCTCTTAATTCCTGCAGTGTTTGCAACACCAGCTTTTTGAGATGCCCCTGAAACTAAAACTGATTAAAATCAAAGTAAAAGCACTCTGTACCTTCAACTTGGCCGTTTAAATTGTGTTTTACTAGGGGCAAGGAAATGCATTAAATCCTTCTCAGGCAGAAAAGTTCTCCCTTTCACGTATTCTCCGTTTCTCTCTTCTAGGCCGAGGTTAGTGAAGATGACATTGAACCCAGCTTTAAAAAGCTTTTTGGACAGCTAGCGGGAAGTGTGAGTATTTTTCTGTTAACATCCTACTGGTAACATGGGTGAGTGGTAAGAGAGATGCCTCCCTCAGGACGGAGTTTAATTCTTGTGCTGAGTCAGATCTCGAGCATGTGCATAATTGTGCATGCAAAAATGTGTGTAGGTACCTGTCTGCTTACACCACGGATTTGTGAGCACTCCTGGCAAAGAATCTCCGCTCTCTTTGAACTGCAGGTTCAGCTTTTATCTCTGCAGGTCCCTAATTCTGTCCTTCGGGCAGAGTATTTGGTGCAGGTGCATGGGTCCCTCTGGGAGATGACAAGGGCTGGGCTGTGCCTTCTCCCCAGGCTGCTCTTGCCTGCCCGAGGGCTCAGGCAAACCCCACAGCCCGGCCCACTAACACATAGGGCTGTGCTACTGGACTTGGTGGTGCTTGCTGGGAATGGGTGGTGGGGAGAGCTTACCACTTGCGTTTCCATCCAAGGGATGTTTGAACTTGGCCAACTCACCCGAGGGAGTCGGAGGTTGCTTATGAGATGGCATCTGCAGCTCACAGTGAAGAACGTGTTTTCCTCTTTTCCGCAGGATGCAGAGATCTCCGCCTTCGAACTGCGCAACATCTTGAATAAAATCATGGCTAAACGTAAGTACCTTCTTCCAGCTGCGTCTTCAGTTGGCCACCAGCAGGTTTCCAGCCTGGCCCGGAGAGCACTGAGCACAGCACTGACCTGGGCAGAGCGAAACCCCCGGGCTCTGCCCCAGACCCACAGCTTGGCTGTCCCTATGGCTGTGGCCACGTGCTGCCTCGGCTCCTTCAGGGGGCTGCAGAAATGCCAGGGCCGTGCCTGCGCCGAAGGTGTGTGTTTCACAGGACGTGTGCTTTGGCAGGGTGCCTATGGGTGCCTTTTGCCCCAGCATCTGCTGCTGGGAATTGGCTGCCAGGAAGATGGATGGATTTGATTAATGCTTGATAATAATCAAGAGAAGGTATCGCTGCTGCTTGAGTATTGAACCACTTGGGATTCAAACAGTAGCCCAGATGATGGTCTGGGGTGTCCCTGAGGAGCAGGAGAAACTTTGAAACTTCGAGCTTTTTTTTTTCTGTGAAGTGATTCTGAGCTTGGCTCTGCATTATTCTCCTGTCCATTAAATAGTGCTCAAGAAATAAGTGCTTAGAGAAATAAGTGTCTCTTTAATTTCCAAAGTGAAATCTTAGCCAGGTAGCCAGGACTGTTTTGTATACCTGTATGGACCAGGCAGTTAGCAAGGGGGTATTGCTGGTTATCAAGCTTGATTTGATGTTCTTCCCTTGCATGAAGCTACCTACCACTGACGTCCATAGGTCAGAAGTCCACATTGTCCGCAAAAGTCCACCCTTGTCTTTGCAGGCAGACAGCAAGTGCAGGAAAGCTTTCTCTCTGTCTCTCACTTCTGTAGCACGCCCACAAACCAGACTAACTGGGCTGTTTGCCTGGGGAAAATCACAGCTAACTTTCACCCTAAGTCTCTTTGTCAGGAAATCACAGGGCTGCTGCTTATTAGCATCCATTTGCCTGCTGCAGTGCTGCGTCCCTCCCGTGTGCAGAACAAGGCCCGTCTCATGGCCCTCTGCCAAGAGCCTTGTAGCTCTTGCTCATGTGTCCTCCCGCCTGAAGCTCTCCCTCGCTGGGAATTCCAGACCCCACCTCTATGTGAGCATTGCCTCCCGCTCTGCTGGATGCAACGGAGTTGTCAGAAGTCGTAGCTTGCCCCAGAGAGGGTGCATAAGCAACATGAGACAACCGTTTCCCATCCAGTGTTTGAGGGAACTGTGGGGTTGTCTGTATGCAGGTATCCTGGCTACAGCTCTACAGGCACCACATCCTCCACAGTCTGCATTGCACTAGGTACTTGCCAGATCCCGAAGGCTTTGGATGATATTAATAATTCCCAGAGCAGGAGGCAGGCATCCCCTGCTGCTCACTGCACTCAGCTGGCCCAGACTGTGGCAGCGATACAGCTGGACACCTATTCCCAGGGGAGGATCTGAAGTAGGCAGCAGATTGCCGTCGAGTAACTAGCAGGTGTAGATCACAAACAACGTAGAGCACTAAGCACACGTTATGTAGAAGCGAAAAACCGCACCAAAATCGAAGTGTCATCTTGCCAGTTGTAAAGGAAGCCACCAATGACACAGAAGCAAATAAGGGCTGGGGTGTATACGGTGGTTACAGAGCTCATGAGCTATTTAGGGAGGTGCTGTAGTACAGCGTACAATGATAATCCCGTCTTTTGCTCTTTCTTTTACAGGTAAAGATATTAAGTCTGATGGCTTTAGTATTGAGACATGCAAAATAATGGTTGACCTGCTGGATGTATCCTTTAAGGCTGTTCCTAGCGGATATTCTTCTGCCTGTGCTGGAGTAGGTGAGCTGCTGCCTTTGCAGTGGCCGGTCCGTACTGATGTACTGGTGACTCCTGAGGTGAAGAATCTGGTTTTACCCTGGTTCCCCTGAGTAAAAATGGTAGCCCTTGCTATTGCTGCTGACTGTGGCACATGCGTTTTCCCAGACAGCGGGGAAAATCCATTTTCAGACAGGATGATCTGCTTTGAAGTCGTCCCAGCTGTGGCATGTTTGGTTTAACTTGGGGATAAAGTGATGTTTGTACCGGGAAAAGGCACCTGGTTCTCAGCATGGTGTGGATAGCCTTGGCTGTAGAGTTTGAACATTGCATTTCACTGCTTTGTTACCTGGCTGGAATTGGTAAGGGTGTCGTAAAGCCATGAGGACTTAGAAAATAGAAAATGAGGGAAACAAACACAGGAGCCAGAGAGTACGCTGGCTTTTGGGAACTTCTACTCCGAAGAATAAGGGCAAAGGCATAGGATGAAGGATTCAAGTCTAAGAATAGTTGTGTTCAGCTTCTCTGTGCAGTGGGAGTTGAACTGCATAGTCAGAAAAAGGGAGAATTACCAAAACGGAATGATGCTCTGCTATAATTTGGAGTAAAATATGGCAGTCCATAGGGACTCCTTAGCGGTTTTTGGGAGCGATGCAATGACCAGGTTCTTTTGTTAGCTGTTTGTGCAAGAACTTAAGTTCTCCAAATAGCAGGCTTGGCTGTGGCTTTTCCTGTTTGTAACCCAGACTTAGGGCTTGTGCTCCTGTAACTGCAGGTGTTGAACCAGCTCCGCAGAACAAAGTGGCATCATCTCGGCTGGTTTTTATACGTGTATTGAAAAGAGAGCGAGCTGCAAAGGGGGAGCAGAAAGAGCTTGTGAACTGATCACTAAATGAATCTGTCATCTTACCGATTTAGAAAGCTATCTTGGACAACAGTTGTGTATTCAACAGGATGAGTCCTTCAGAGAGGACTTGCATCCTTTTCTTAAGGCCTGGGGGGTTTTAAGTCACAACTGCCCATGTAAGTAAACCCAGCACAGGGAGGGGAAACCCCTTTTACTTCCCTCCAAAGAGATTCCCTTAACTCAAAGAAGAATGATGGCAGTGGTAAACTAGGACTGAAGGAGTTCCATACCCTCTGGACAAAGATTCAGAAATACCAGGTAAGGCACAACCTTTTTGGGAGAACGTGCCATCAAATGCAGAGGTGGCAGTAGACTGATTTGCCTCCTACAACGTGTGCAGTTGCGCTTCCCAAAGCAGGGGCTCGCACTTCGGCTCACGATGCATTTGTGTCCTCAGTCCCCCGAGTCCAGGGATGTGGCCACTTGTCCTTCAGGCGCTGGGGTGAAGGGCTGAAGGAGGGGCTGCCCCGTTCCCCGCCCT